TACCAATCTGGGTTCAAAAAGGGCCACACCACTGAAACTGCTCTGTTAGCAGTGATGGAATCCTTAAAAGAAGCTAGAGCGACTGCCAAATCCTCCTTGCTTATCCTGCTCCACTTATTGGCAGCATTTGACACTGTCACCCATGGCTTCCTTTTGTCTACACTCTCTACCATGGGCATCACAGAGAAAGCAGACGCCTGGTTTGAATCGTACCTCACAGGACGATCATTCAGTGTATCTTGGCTTGGACAATCCTCTACCGTGCACCATCTTGCCACAAGAGTCCCCCAGGGCTCTATACTAGGACCTCTTCTCTTTGCCATATACACCACCTCACTGGGTGAGATCATTCGATCACATGACTTCTCCTACCACTGCCATGCAGACGACACCCAGCTCTATCTGTCATTTCCACCGGATGACCACACTGTCTCTGCACGAATATCAAACTGTCTCTCTGACATATCTAAATGGATGAAATCCCACCATCTCCATCTCAACCTCTCTAAAACTGAACTACTTGCCATCCCAGCAAAACCATCCATACAACACAATATCTCAATCCAGAATGACTTCCTATCTCTGGCTCTTCAAAGGCAGTTCAAAATCTGGGTGTGGTGATTGATGAACACCTGACCTTTAAAGATCATGTTGCCTCTGTTGCTCGTTCATGCCGCTTTGCGCTGTATAACATACGAAAGATCAGACCATACTTAACACAACATGCCACCCAGCTCCTGGTGCAATCTACTGTCATCTCCCACCTTGATTACTGCAATGCCCTTCTAACTGGTCTTCCAGGCTGTACTGTGAGACCTCTTCAAATGGTCCAGAACGCAGCGGCGCGTCTGGTCTTCAATCAGCCAAAAAGAGCACACATCACCCCTCTGTTCATTGAGCTCCACTGGCTACTGCTAGCAGCATGCATCAAATTCAAATTGCTAACACTAGCATACAAAGTCCGAGATGGTACGGCTCCCATCTACCTGAATCCTCTTGCAAAGGCTTACGTCTCGGCCCGGCCGCTCCGGTCCTCACAGGATCGTTGGCTAGCAGAGCCTACACCACGCTCAGGACAATCCAGACTCTTCTCATGCATCGTTCCACAAATGTGGAATGACCTTCCAAGCACTACCAGAACAGGGGCTTCCTTTTCAATTTTCAAGAAACTCCTGAAGACCCTGCTCTTCAGAGAGCATCTTCTAAACTAGCACCCTCCCTGCACCCGTCCCCCTCTCTACTGTCCACTCCTTGTTCCCTCCTCTCCATGATTGATGTCAAGTTGTTGTTGTTATTGTTGTTAGCCTCAAGGGCAACATGCTGATTATCACTTGTAAGTCGCTTTGGACAAAAGCGTCTGCTAAATACATAAACATCAACTACATACAACAGAAGAATTTACTGTATACAGTTACAGTAAAACAATAAAACTATGCTGCATCCTCTCTTCTGTTGCGGTCTGGCCACAGCGCCTCATCCACATCACAAGCAATGTTGTCCCTGGCCAAGCAGCGGGGGAAATATCTCCTAGCATGGTGATTCCAGCCATGAAAAGAATCAGCTGCTATATCTCCACGTGCGTCCTCCATAGCTTGGAGAAGAGGTATACGAGTTTGTGGTTGTCAGTCATACACCTTCCATCTCCATGCAGAAAAAAATTCCTCAATGGGATTGAGGAATGGAGAATATGGAGGGAGATAAACAACTGAAAAGCGTGGGTGGCCAGTGAACCAGTTACGAACCACAGCAGCCCGGTGGAAACTTACGTTGTCCCGAATGACAACGTACCTGGGCTGTTCTGTACCATCTACCTGATCTGGTGGAATGAGTGTGTTGTGTAGGGTGTCCAGGAATGTGATCAGATGGGCGGAGTTGTAGGGGCCAAGGGTAGCATGGTGATGGATGATGCCATGGTAGCCAAGCGCTGTACACATTGTGATGTTCCCTCCGCGCTGGCCAGGGACTTCATCAATGGCACGCTGGCCAATGATATTCCTTCCCCTCTTTCGTCTTTTTGTGAGGTTGAATCCAACCTCATCAATGAAGATGAGCTGGTGCTCCACTGCAGCTGTCTCAAGCTCAAGGACTCTCTGAAACACACATGACAACATCAGAAATAAAACATGGAGTGGTCACTATTGTGAAGCACAATCATTATGATTACAATTTTGAAATATGTGTAATTTACTGTACACAGTGTTGAGTGTATGCATCAGTTGCGGGGCTCACTTACACATAGTTATATCGCAATTCTTGGACTCTTTCTGAGTTTCGTTCAAATGACACCCTGTAGACCTGCTTCATCCTGAGAGGATTTCTGCGCAAGACACGGTCCAGTGTTGATAAGCTGACCCTATCAATATTTTGAAACATGTCTTTGTTTTCTATGATTTTTCTTCGTATTTGCCGTAATGTTATGGCATTGTGGGCTGCGCAGCGGCGCAGTGGTTAGAGCTGTTGCCTTGCAGCGAGAAGGTCCTGGGTTCGCTTCCCGGTCTGGGATCTTTCTGCATGGAGTCTGCATGTCCCTGTGCATGCGTGGGTTCTCTCTAGGTACTCCGGCTTCCTCCCACAGTCCAAAAACATGACTGTTAGGTTGATTGGTCTGTCTAGATTGTCCCTAGGTGTGTGTGCGTGGTTGTTTGTCCTGTGTGTCTGTGTTGTCCTGCGATGGACTGGCTCTCTGTCCAGGGTGTACATCGCCTACTTGCCCGTTGACCGCTGGAGATAGGCACCAGCCCCCCACCCCACCCCCGCCGCGCGACCCCGCGTGGACAAAGCGGGTTCAGAAAATGGATGGATGGATGGTTATGACATTGCTTTCTAGGACCATGTTGAGGATTTCAGTTTCTTGTTCAGGAGACAGAAGACATTCCCGACCTCCTCATGTTGATAATCTTTCAGTTCTGCCAAACAAATAGTAAAATAATGTGAATAGAAATGATTGAATTGATATGCATTACTGCCATTTTCTAGTGAGAGAAGATTTCTTACCTATTCTCATTTTGGAAGGTCCAGATGATGGATGCTACAGTGTACCTGCTCAAATTTGGCTGTACTCTTTGCCCAGCCTCCCTCATAGTAAGACCATGGTTGACCACATGATCAACCAAAGTGGCTCGGATCTCATCAGTCTTCCTCGTCCTCGTCCTCGTCCTCCCCGTCCTCCTCCTCTTACTCTCACTCCTCTGGCTCTGCCTCTGTTTCCAATGTTGGCATCCATTGCTCCAACACAGAAGAGCTCACCCGTTGCCCTTTTATGCTAAAGCTCTGATTGCTAATTGTAAAACTGTGTGACAGGTGTTTGCCCTTGTGATGAGTCAGTGTGCATATTTGAATAGCAGTGTGTTCCTTGTGAAAACAAGATATTTTCTGCATGAAAATTGTGCCAACAGCAGAGAATTGTGTGTAGTGTTTTGAGAAAAGTGTGTTTTAGATTTGCAATTAGAGTGCAAAGCAGGAATTGTGCTTGTAGTTTAGCAGAATTGGTTAAGGGGGTTGGTGAATTGGTTACATGTTGTTGTCATTGTGTCTCAAGTACCAGAAAATGTGTGTAAACAATTGAGAAAAACTGTAAGATCTTGGTAAAAGGCCTGTATCTGATATGGTGCCTTCAGGGTTCTACAACCCCCCAAGACACTTTACAACACAAACATATATCACATAATCCTTGAGCACCTGGAGCACCTGGGTGTTGGGGGTGACCGTCAGGCACCACCGGCTGGAACCTCAGTTCCGTATCTGTAAAATGGATGTTTTTTTCCTGCTAGTGCAGCCTTCTGCTTCCATCAGGATGTTTTCCACCAGCCGTGTGATCGTTTTCTTTCCTCTCTGCCAGCAGCTTGACTGGGTCTGAGCTCTACATCCTTCCTCTGTGCCCTGACAGGTCCATTCACTTTCCAAAGATCACGCTCTGGCACGCTCACATTCATTCTTGAAACTATCACCGGAGTTGCCCCTCGACCTCTGCTGGATTAACACTGCCTTAAACAGATGTTGGTGCAGATGTGCACCAGTCCTGATGTTTAGAGTTCTACTGAAAAGACAAGTGGGTGAAAATAATCAGCATGATGTCTCATAAAGTTTTTTGTGGCAAAATCGAGATTCATTTAAAGCATTTGTCCTACATTAACATAAAACCCACAGATTAAACAGACACTGTAGTCTAATAACATATAACATATCTGGACATCTGCAGCGTTCAATTAAACCAACTCAGCATGTTTCATAGTCACTATATTGCCTCCTGCTGGAAACAGCTAAAATCACGTCATGTTTACTACAATTGTATAGCTAAATTACTATAGTAATATATAAATAATAAATTGTACTATATAACTATTTATGGTGCTGTATAATATATTTATATCTCTTGTTTACATTATGAGTTTTATAGATCTGAGCTATAGTCTTTCCATTATGTATATTTTTATTTTGCATTTTTGTCTGCTGCTTTGATGGTTGAGTTTCAATGCTTTATGCTATGCATTATATCCTAACAGTAACGTTTTACACAACACGTGCGATTACCAGAAATGGATTGTTTTAGTGCAGTACATGGGATTAAAACATAAAATAACTGAAAGAAATGGTTCACAAAGGAAATATGTTAAAGAGAAAATAGTTTTATATAGCAAACAGCGCCATTGAGGCTGTTTGTATTATGTTTTCAACAGTTTTTAACCAAACAATGAGTAAATACAAGTCGGTCGAATAAAATGGCTGTCCTGTGTTAATTTCATGATATTAATGATACAAGGCGCTGCTACGTCAACTTGTGACTTCTGTTTTCCTTTTCCTTTTTTTTTTTTATTTTTTGTAATTTTGGTACGGAAATGTAAACTGGGTTTTTTCAAATGTTTGCTTGTTAAGCCTTTTGATATTTTTAAGACAACAAATAAAGAAATATTGTTCTTTTGCTAATCTGACTGAGTTTCACTTATATGTTTTGCTTTCTCTTTAACGGGTGAGCGGCCCCTTTAAATGTGTGGCGTGCTGAGGACTGTGCGCATGCGCAAAAGGGTGCGCAACATCCCCAGTGAACAACAACAACAATCACTACTGCAGGGCAGCAAACAGAAAGATGGCCCATTGAACGAAAGCGCTACACTGACACGAGTACCAGCGAACTGCTGTTATTTCAGCCTGAGCCGTACATGTCGATGGTACCGAGCCCATGAACCTGGCCAGTCTGAGCGGGGACGCTGGCGGAAGCCAGCTCCTCTTCGCTAACTTCAACCAGGACAACACGTAAGGCAGGGCCGGGGTGAGCGTTGTCCGGGGTCCCGCTGGCCTGTGAGGGCAGTCGGGCTAGCCCATGTTGGCTAGCTCGGTCTGAGCTAACGGGTCACGGCTGTTTATATGATTATTTCAGGGTGTTTTTCTATGACAAGAAGAAACTTTTGAACACGGCAGGCTGATATTAAACCACTCGGATATGTTATTTAGTCAGAGCTTAGCTTAGCCCTCCGGCTAACGGGGGCTAACCTTAGCCCCAGCACAGAGATACGACTATTTTATGACGTCACATGGTGAAAATTATGATCAATGTCTGTGTGTACATGTACTAGTCACTGATGAATGGCTGGATCGTTTATAGGACGGGAGAGCAGCTGCTCTAACATTCTTATTTTAGTTCAAAAACATGAAATTTGTTGCTGTAGCTTATGCTGCCACACTTAATGAAATAGGTTTAAGTCATTTTCACTCAGGTTTTGAGTTTGCTAGCTAACAAACTCGTTCAGACGACCACGGGGTGCTTTTTTCAGCACAACACCCGACCACACAGGCCTGGTGGTGTTATTGCAAAACGTTCCCAGCCGCGTGGAGCGGATCCGGTGACAGGGACACAGCCGAGCTGGCTGAAATCAGTGTGACAGTCTGAGGCAACAATAACCACCACGTTCATCTCTGTGCTCGCTGATGACGTCAGACCCCGCCATGTCTCTCTGGGTTTTGCAGGTCCTTGGCTGTTGGCACCAAATCAGGATACAAGTTCTTCTCCTTGTCATCCGTGGACAAACTAGAGCAGATATATGAATGTTGTAAGTATTTTTTCCCCCGTCTTTCTAATGCAACCAGTCCATGTGTGCACATGTGTGCAAACAGAAGCAAATTTACACTGCAAACACTATTTATCTGTAACACGCCTGTTGCCAAACCCCTGCAGCGATGTTTAGTGTGTTTTTGTTCCTGCAGCTGACACGGAGGACGTGTGTATCGTGGAGCGTCTGTTTTCCAGCAGCCTCGTGGCCATCGTGAGCCTGAAGGCGCCCAGGAAACTCAAAGTCTGTCACTTCAAGAAGGGAACAGAGATCTGCAACTACTCCTATTCAAACACCATACTGGCTGTGAAGCTCAACAGACAGGTGGAAGGAGGAGAGGCCCTCACACGTCTAGCTTCTCGTCTGACTGCTGCTGATGATTTTGTCGGTTTCCCCTCTGCAGAGGCTGATCGTATGTCTGGAAGAATCGCTTTACATTCACAACATCAGAGACATGAAAGTGCTGCACACCATCAGGGAGACTCCCCCCAACCCTTCAGGTCAGTTGGGACACCGCAAACCGAACGTTAGTCATTTCAATTCAAGATGGCCTCCACAGCTAATAACCCTAAACTAGCCACAACTCAGCCAGTTTCACAACATTTTATGTTAATAATTATTTAAATTGGCGTTTTGATTTCAGCTCCTTATGATTGTAAAACATTGTAATCAAGGAAAATTTGTTATGATTAGAATTATTTAGTCACTCTCATCTTTCAGGCATGCTTTTGTGCTTCTTGACTAACATTTCTCACTAACAGCAACGAAAAACTCCTAAAAAGGATAGTAGCAAGTTGGAAGGACAACACTAGCTGCAGAACTGCAGCAGTTATTTAGAGCAAAGTTGATGCAAAGATATCAGGGGCAGGTCACCGCTGTTTGCTCAGAGGTTTGATCTAAAAATAACGATCTACGCATATCCATCTGGAACCACTGCTGGTCCTTCTGGACTTATTATCGTATTAGCGTGACGGCAGAAGCATGGCTGACTGTGTAAGCTAGTTTTTGCTGGTTTTGTTAGTTTCTTTTAAGACCCCTCCACATCTGGGTCAGTACGGTCGGTGCTGGATCGCGTCGGTCCGGGCTCATACAGGCTGTTTTTGTTCCCATTATGGCTCGCACAGACCTCTCAGAAATGCAGAAATCTCAGAGCGTGTGTGCGACAGAGAAGACGTGCGGAAAAGTTCACGGTGTCCTTAAAAAGGAGCGTGTGAGTTGTGCTTTTGGAGACTCTGAACCACATTATTTTATTAATTTGCTCCCTGTTCTCTCGCTGATACTGCTGTGCATGTCCTCACAACTAGGGATGTAAGAAAATATCGATATGGCAATATATCGTGATATTTGTCCCAGCAATATTATATCGATATTCAAAAGCCGTGTATCAGAAATATCGATATGGCAATATATCGTGATATTTTTTCCTGTGATTATTACATCGATATTCAAAAGCCGTGTATCTAATTCCTGAAAGAATTTACATGCAAACTTTTGTGTATTTTCTTTTCATTTTGCGCAATTCAATCGCCACCCGCTAGTTGGCAGCAGTGTGCAGCGGGTTTTTTTTCCACCATTGAACTGTAAATCCCTCCATCATGGTTCAGATACCTCATGTTAAACATGTTACGTATCAGTTTGGACTGTTTATTGAACATTCTTACAATAAATTCAGTAAAAAAAATTGCTTGTAACGTCTGACTGAATGTATCGCAATATATTGTGATATATCGTTTCGTCTCCCCTGTATCGTGATATGTATCGTATCGCCAGAATTTCAAAACTACATATCCCTACTCACAACACTCTGTCCTCCGCCGTTGCGGCTGAAATTAAAGTAAACAAAGGCGACGGTGAGCTGTGGTGCTCACGGCCATTGTTCCTCCCTGCTCCCTCCTCTCCTCCCACTGAGCAGCAGTCTGCCTTCGCGCTGGAGCGGGAGCTCCATGCTGCAGAGAGAGAGATGTTTACTCCACAGCATCCAGAATCCCCTGCTGGCTTATTCTACCCGCCAGTCGGAGGCGGTAGGCATGAATTTCAGCCGGCCAATCAGTATGTAGTGTCACCTCGGTCCCAGTCAGACCGCCGAGGAAGAGCTCCAAAAAAAGAGTCACCTCAGAATGGAAAACACGCATATTAACCAGATGTGAAACCAGGAATGCTATCCAGCCCAGACCGTCCTGACTCCGATGTGGAAGCCGTACTAGAGTTTAAGAGTCTGGTACGTTTTCTGTGTGGTTATGTGCCGTTTACGTAGCGTTTTCGTCCCATCAGGATTGTGCACGCTCTCCATAAGCAACGACAACTGTTACCTGGCATATCCGGGCAGCGCCACGATAGGAGAGGTCCAGGTGTTCGACACGGTCAACCTGGTAGGTTAATGGTCTCTGTTGGTTTGTCTGCCTTCTACCTGTCTCACAATCAACATGAAATGATGTGGGCTTTTTATTTGGTTTCTAGCGGGCAGCAAATATGATTCCTGCCCACGACAGCCCTTTAGCAGCTCTGGCGTTTGACGCGAGCGGCACCAAGCTGGCCACAGCCTCAGAGAAGGTACCGTCTGTTAAACCGACACGTCATTTCTTGTCCGAGTAAACAACTATCCGTGTGTGTTTGTCCCCTGTTTCACATTTCTGTCTCTGCGTGTGTCTCACTTCTTGCCAGGGCACAGTTATCCGTGTCTTCTCCATCCCAGAGGGACAGAAGCTCTTTGAGTTTCGGCGAGGAGTCAAAAGGTAGAAGACCTGCTGATTCGTCTTCTCCAGATGTGTGTGCCCTTGATATTTAACATTTCTTGTTTTAGGTGTGTGAGCATCTGCTCACTGGCGTTCAGCATGGAGGGCCTCTACCTTTCAGCCTCCAGCAACACAGAGACGGTCCACATTTTCAAATTAGAGACTCAGAAGGAGAAGTACGTGTAAGTGTCGTCCTGTCCAACAGCTGTGGTAGACTTTGTGTCTTGACCCTCTGAATGAAAACCAAACTAGCTTCCAACCTGGTGTGTTTTCAGGCCAGCAGAGGAGCCAACCACATGGGGAGGGTACCTGGGAAAGGTCCTGATGGCGTCCACTACCTACCTACCGTCACAGGTCACAGAAATGTTCACACAAGGCCGAGCCTTTGCCACCGTCCGTCTGCCCTTCTGCGGACATAAGAACATCTGCTCCTTAGCTGTGTGAGTAAAACAGGATTTATGCGTCAGTCTTTAGGTGAAAATGCAAGTTTAGGTGACTTACGAATAGGGCAGGGGGTAAACGATTATTTTTAAAACGATTATTCTGACGATTATTTTATCGAATAGTCGACTATTCTAATGACTATTTAGACGATTAATCTTAAGATTATTTTTCTATTGCACAGTTAATAAAAACCAAAAAATCTCAAATAAATTCCTCAAAAAAATTGATAAATTGTTACTGTAAGAGAATAAACACTACAGGCCTTCCATTTTGTATAACACTGCTTTTATTGTGTTGGTTGGTTATGTTCTGGTGACGTGTAGAACTTGGGAGTGCAGGCTGCTGCCTGAGAGGTGGTTGGAGATGGAGTGTCTCCATGCTGCTTTGTTTTGGTCACTTATGAGCGTGAGGCGAGTGGTGTTACGTAGAGCTGAAACGATTCCTCGAGTACCTCGAATAATTCGAGTACAAAAAATCCTCGAGTCAAATTCTCTGCCTCGAGGATTCGTTTAATTCATATTTAATTAATTCATGGCTTTGCAATCGCCCGGGGTCATGTTTCACCCGGACCGAAATAAGTGACGCACATGCCCACTGGACTGAATGCACACGCGAGTAGCGAATATAACTTAACTTTCTCTTAAGCCATGGCGGACAACGTGGACCCCGGTGGAGTGCGAAAAAGACAGAAAATGTCAAAGTTGTGGGACCATTTTTCACGTCGTAAGGTGGAAAACATAGTCCAGTATAAATACTGTAAAATGGATTTAGCCTACCACAACACCGCATCCTCCGCGCTGCAGCACCTGTAAATGTCACTTCTGCAAGCAGACTCGGAGCCTCTACAAGATAATGCATTTTAGCCTGTTTTTCTATATATTCTGCGGACTCTGCGACTTTTTCGTTTGTAGCACTCAGTTTCAGCTCACACCGTACGTCTGGTAGCAACACGTCAGTCTTACAATGTGCTAAAAAAATAGCAGTTTTTACACAACACATCGGACTTTTTATTGTGTTATTGATGTCTGTTGTCCCTCGGGGTTTCTGCAGGAGGACACGGGTATTTATGAGTGGCGGAGGAAAACGAAAGAAAGTAAATAAATGTTTTGTGATCAGTAAAATTTGACAAAACCACAGCAAACATGCTTTTGGCAATCCTTGTTAGTGTGAGAAAAAAAGTGTGGAAATTAAAACGGACGTGTGTTAATAGGGAAACAGCCGGCGAGCTGTTTGCGCCGTGAGCGGTTCTGGTTCTGTTTGGGCCGCAGCCGCTCGCAGCGCTATCCTCCTTGTTTCTACTCGGGTCGAAAGAATCCACGCTTCGTACTGATGTCCACAATTATTTTATTTCTCTCTGACAATCATGGAGCACCGTGAAAACTAGAAACAAGTAAATTAATATCAATAACATATATGATATTCATCTCAGCCACTTATTTCTTTTCACAAAGTGCACAAGTGTTAAACGAAGAACAGTATAACGTTTTTTACCGTGTACGCCTTGTAAAACCCAGCAGTAGAAAAGATGTATGTTCCAAAAGTCCGCCGTGTTACCGCACCGTGTCGTCTCTCCCGCGACTCACAGGAAGCGACTACCTCACAACAATCTCAACAGAAACATTTCTTATAAGAAAGACGTATAACTCCACTGCACAGATACACAATATGAGTACCAAATAAAGAAAACAAAACAGAGACAACGTACCGATCTCCGATGCGCTGCTGGTGTTGTCATGGCAACCAACACAAACATTCCAACGTCAGTTACACTCCCACCAATTACCTTTGATTATTACAATTGCGAATGTGAATACACTTGTATTGTTCATTAAATCAATGGTAATTCCCAAGCACCATGTTGTTATGTTAAAACACTCTTGCATTGACATAAACAATATTCTTTTCTCAAACAATTAATTCAACAGTATGAACAGAATTTACATCTCCACAACATGTGCATGAAGTACAGCATAATGACAACTTGTATTTTAGAAGGGAAATCTAATCAATGAATGACATATTTTTCTCATTTTCTACCAGGACCACTAATTTCTGAATGGGTCTTTGAATCATGGATGGTTGGACGAGGCGTTCGCCTCTCTTTCCTAATTTCCTATCACCAGTCTGGATTGTCACCTTCCGTACAAGTCCATCATCATCCTCATGTGCTTCCACAACCCTAGCGAGTTTCCATTCATTGCGAGGAACATCTTCTTCTTTGAGAATCACAATGTCACCCACCTCCACATTACGTCTTGGTGTATGCCATCGCTGTCTCAGAGCAATATTGGCCAGGTATTCCTTTCTCCATCTGTGCCAAAATTGCTCAGTCAGATATTGGACCCTTCTCCACCGTTTCTTAGCATACAGGTCCTCCTTGACAAATTTACCTGGAGGTGGAAGTGGGATTGAGGATTTCATGGTGATCAAGTGGTTCGGTGTGAGTGGCTCCAAGCTTTTGGGGTCGTTGATGTTATCAACAGTGAGTGGGCGGTTATTCACGATGCACATAGCTTCATAAAGGAATGTCCTTAATGAGGCATCATCCAGCCTTCCCACACTGCAGGCAAGGACCGTGCTCAGTACGCTTCTCACTGTCCGGATTTGGCGCTCCCATGCGCCTCCAGCATGACTAGAGTGGGGCGTATTCATCTGGAAGTCACACTGTTTTTCTGCCAGGTATGCAGTCACTCTTTCCTTATCAAGTTCTTTCAGAGCCTTTGCCATCTCGTTTCTTGCCCCCATAAAATTAGTTCCCTGATCAGACCTAATGTGTCTAACAGCTCCACGAAGGGCAATGAAGCAGCGCAAAGCATTGATGAATGCGTCAGTCGTCAAATCCTCCAGCATCTCTATATGCACTGCCCTTGAGCAAAAACATGTGAAGAGGAGGCCGTACCGTTTTTGATCTTTGCGACCCTGTTTGGTGTGAAAAGGACCAAAGCAGTCCATACCACAATAAGTGAATGGTGGTGTGGGATCAACACGGTCACTAGGTAGATCTGCCATTCGTTGCTCCTCTGGTGGCGCGCGGGCTTTCCTACACTGTACGCACTGCCTGATGTATTGGGCCACAGCCTTACTTCCACCAGCGATCCAGTAACCATTGACTCTGAGTGCATTGAGGGTTTGTCCTCTGCCTTGGTGTTGTATCTTGGTATGATGGTGTGCGATGATGAGGTTTGTAACAGCACCATCTTTAGGAAGGATCACAGGGTGTCTTAACTCGAGAGGCACAGATGCCTTCCTTAATCTTCCTCCTACTCTCATTATGCCATCTTGGAGGAATGGGTCAAGCTGAAAGAGTGGGTGGTTGCAAGGCAGCCTTCCTAGTTTCTGGCTGAGTGTGTTTAACTCCTCTTGAAAGGCATCTTGTTGTGCAAGCTTGACAAGAGTCTGTGCAGCTTGTTTTCTCTCTTCCACGTTTAAAGGTTCAGCGGTCCTGATCCTCTTTGCCAGCCGCTGGATACGAGCAATGACGTTGACAGCTGTAGCCCATCTTGAGAACCGCAGCAGATGCTTCTGGATGTCAAACTGTCTTGCTGCCTCAACCTTCAACACCTGAGTAGTCCTCACCTCTGGGTCTCCCACCAGCAAATCTGAAGTAGCCTGTTTGGTGGCTATCTCTCTTTCCCATAGAAAGCCTGGGCCAGAGAACCAATTTGACTTGATGAGGTCAGCTACTTTGAGGCCTCTCGATGCATGATCAGCAGGGTTTTCTCCTGTGTCCACATAATAACATTTCCGTGCATCTGTGTTTTCTCGAATTTTCTGAACACGATTTGCCACGAACACATGGAACCTTCTTGCTTCATTATTGATGTAACCAAGCACGACCTTTGAGTCTGTCCAAAAATATTCGTCATCAATCTTGAGCTCTAGCTCCTCCCTTAATATGCTGCTCACAGATGCCGAGGTTACTGCTGCAGTTAATTCTAGCCTCGGTATGGTGACTATTTTGGTTGGTGCAACCCTCGCCTTGCCCATGACCAAGGAGCAGCATACCCTTTCTCTGCTTACTACTCTGATGTAAGAGCACTGGCCATACCCTTGACTGCTTGCATCAGAGAAATGATGAAGCTCGGCTCTCTGAATCTCACCAAGGCTGTCAGGTATGAAGCATCTTTGAATTTCAATTCTTTCCAGGTTCTCCAAATCCTTCATCCAAGTCTCCCACCTTAACTTCAAGTCTTTGGGTAGTGGCTCATCCCACCCTGTGCCTCTCTGACACATCTCTTGCAGCACTCTTTTCCCTTCAAGAATGACTGGGGCTAGAAACCCCAAAGGGTCATACAAGGAGGCCACAATTGAGAGGATCCCTCGGCGCGTTGCCAGTTTCTCCTCAAGTGACACCTTGAAGGAGAAGCTATCATTTTCAATGTTCCACCTTATACCTAGTACTCTTTGAACTGGCAAATCATTGTGATTAAGATCAACATTCTTCACCTCCGTAGCACGCGCTGCAACCTCCACTGAGTCAAGGACCTCTCGACTGTTGGAGAGAAATTTGTGAAGGTGCAGCTTTCCTTTGGCACACACAGCTTGGGCATCTTTGACCAGTTCAATTGCCTCACCCACCGACTTTACACTTATGAGACCATCGTCGACATAGAAATGTTTCTGGATGAAGCTAGCTGCGGAGGGGTACTCTTTCTCACATTGGCTGGCAAGGTGTTTCATGCCATAATTGGCACAGCCAGGGGAGGATGATGCTCCAAACAGGTGAACCTTCATGCGGTACTCTCTGGGTTCTGAGTTTGTGTCTCCATTTTCCCACCAGAGAAATCGCAGGTAGTCTCTATCATCCTTGCTCACATGAAACCTGTGGAACATTTTCTCCACATCACACATGACTGCGATGGGATATTTACGGAAGCGGCACAGCACAGCTGTTAGGCTATTTGTGAGGTCAGGTCCTGTTAGCAGATGGTCGTTTAAGGAGGTGCCTTCATACCTTGCAGAGCAGTCGAAAACCACTCTGATTTTGCCTGGTTTTCTGGGGTGGTAAACTCCTTGATGTGGGATATACCACACTTTCCCCAGCTCTGCTTGGTTTTCCACTTTCTCTGCATCTCCATCCTTGAAGACACCTTCCATAAATCTCACGTAGTCTATTTTGAATTTGGGATCTCTGTCCAGCTTCCTCTTTAGATGCTTCAACCGTACTAATGCCAGCCTTTTGTTGTCTGGGAGATGTGGACGTGCTTTGAAAGGGAGAGGCATCTCCAGGTGACCCTCCTTATTTTGTTGGATCCTCTCTTTCAAGATCTGCAGGAAGCATATATCTTCTTGAGATATGCTTCTGTCACCAGATTTTGTGTCTGCAAAATCGGACTCTAGGGCCTTGATGACAGCAAATGGCGTTATGGGTGGCATCTCTCTGACAGACACTCGATGGCAAAAACCAGTCACATCTTTAGCTTGCACACGCTGTGGTGCGCTTCCCACAATGCTCCAACCAAGGTCCGTCTCAATAGCATAAGGCTCATAGTCGCCCCCAGTGATGACCCTTCTTGGAATTAACGCTCTGGAGCAGTCATATCCAATCAACAATCCAACACCACAGTCCATCAACGGGGGTATCTCTTGGGCCATGCTTACAAGGTGTTTCCATTTGTTGGCTGTCTGACAAGTGGGAATATGTGCACGGTCAAGAGGAATGAAGTCCCTTGTGTAGGCTGGAGGCAAATTGATGGAAACGTTAGAGGAAAATCCTCTAACTTTGAGCTTGCATACTCTTTGACTCTTCACGACTGAGTCTCTCCCCATCATGGTGGAAAGTTTAAGTTTCACTGGTTCCATTGCTGCTTTTAGCTTTTCGCACACCTCCTGATCAACAAATGTGTGACTGCTTTGAGTGTCCAATAGTGCATACACTAGGGTTTCAGTGTCCGGAGCACTAAGTGTTGAGATCCACACTGGGACTATCATCGACGTACTCCCACCTTCACCACCACTCACACAACATGATAAAGATGACGTACTTTCTTCCACTGCACCCTGAATTGATGATTCTCCTGCTGTAGAACGATCTTCATGCAATGGCGTTGGGTGACTCTTTTTGCATATGCTACATGTGGACCTGTTTCTACAGTCTTTAGAATTGTGACCCTTTCTTAGACATGCAAAACACAACTTATTTTCAAGTATGCATTTTTTCTTATCCTCTACAGGCATGTCCATAAGCCTCTTGCATTTATGTATGGAATGGTTCTCACTACAGCAAATACACTGGTCACTATTGTAATTTTGTGTTGGTGTGTTCCATTTCTTTGGTTTCTCTGCATCTCCCAACTTGATTTGACCAGGGTCAGATTTGGTGGTGGAGCTTGATGGAATTGAAGGTTTCACATTTGTGGCAAACGTGTTTGCTTTTGAACGCTTCATTTCTCTTGGTGGTGCCTCTGCAGAGTGCCTTAAGGCATGTAAGGATGACACTGGATTGCATGCTATGCGTGACTCCTTAGAGACAAAGGAAGCAAACTCATGAAAGCTTGGATAGTCGTTGCCCCGATCTAGCTGCTCTGTAACGTAACAGTTCCATCTACATGTCACCCAATCAGGAAGCTTGACTAATATTTTCTGATTCTCCTCGCAGTCGTTAAGAGCCTGTAAGCCCTTTATGTGGGGCATTGCATTACTACATGTTAGGAGGAAATCACTGAACTCTCTTAGCTTGAGATATTCCTTTCCTCCAATCTTCGGCCACCCATTTAACTTCTCTCTGAAAGCCCGCTGTACTACAAAGGAATGGCCATATCTAGCATTTAACCTTTCCCATGCCTGTTGATAGGCTTCTTCATCTTTTCTGTAGAAGCTGCCTTCAAGAGAAGATTTAGCCTCGCCTGCTATGTACTTTTGCAGGTAGAATAGCCTGTCTGCAGGGTCAGAGCATCGTCTCTCTATGAGGGCTTTGAAGCTCATGCTCCATTCTGTAAACTTCAGAGGATCACCCGAGAATACAGAAGGTTCTGGAGTTGGCAAGCGGGTGAGAGCTAATGACTCTTGTAGCGATTTGACCAATGATGTCTCGTTTTGCACAACCTGCCGTTCTTGATCTGGGATGTGGTGAGCGAAGGGGTGTGCATCACTCACTTTGCTGAATGGAGGACTGCGTGTCCCATACCTTTCCTCTTCTTCAGTGTAGACATTTAGCCTTGCCTGAATTACATCAATGTCCCTCTGGTTTTCCAGTTTTCTCAACTGCTGACGTTGAGCTTCGATGGCAGCTTCCATATCAACTTCAGCTCTCTTTGCAGCCAGCTGAGCAGCCGCTTCCGCCCTCATAGCCGAAATGCTAGGTGACTCTGAGAGATGTTTAGAATTGTGACAGCTGGGTGCAGTAACTCTGGAAGCTGTGGATCCATATATGGACCTAGCATATTCATTATCAAGTAGCATGCGTAACCTTGATCTTTCTGCCACTGTGTCAAACTCATCTTCATCTTCAGTGAGACGTACTCTCATCAGCTGCAGCAAGTCGGCTGTCGCAGCTGAGCATGCATCAATCTTTCTTCGAATTTCTTGACTTGGTGAGGTTTGGAGTCGAATTCTGTCATACTGTTCCTTTAATTCAGACTCTTGCTTCTCAGCCTCATCCATCATATTATACATGTCACTCTCAGAGCATACTTGCTTTAACCTTGTGCGAATGTCTCTTACGTTGCTTCTCCACTTCTCATATGTTGCTTTGAACCTCTTCTCCTTTTGAGTTAACTCTTGATCTTTCAGTTCCTGCATTTTTGGTGTTAATCGCCTTTCACGAGAGGATTTTCTTGTTTTTGTCTCAGATTTCTCAGACACTACACTTCTTTCCTCTTTCATATCCCCTGCATCTTGGACTTTTGACATAACATTAGGATGACTATGGTCATCTTTAGACATTTTCAGACTTTAAAAGGGGTATCTTATGAAGGGACAAGATATCTAAGGTAATTACAAGAATGGAATGGATGCAATAGGTGGAGAATTATTAAAATTAACACAAGGCACATTAGCTTAGTTTCTTACATATGACAGTAAATAAACTTCAGTTTCAGCCTTCTTAAAGCTTGCAAACAATAAGTAAGAAAACAACAATAAGTTCCAGGACTTGAACAGATTGTCCTTTTTTTTTCTTTTTCTTTTTTTGTTACACAGTCTGAAGTTTGAACACAATTAATTTCTTGTCCATTATAGCAAATTTGTAGCTCATGTTCTATCCATCAACACAGGAGGCATAACAGCTGCGTAATATAGCCTGATGACTCACGCTTCTTGAAACCGCTTCTTGAAGTGTCCACTGAATATGCAGCTCCTGATTGGTTGCTCCAAAATGCAAAGCAACGTGTCCACTGAAGCCTGTAGCTCACTGTAGCTTGCTGCAGGATGACGAGAGCTCTGCGCACCGAAGCCTCCAGATGGATTGGGCCAACGTTTTCACTGTTTCTACTCGGGTCGAAAGAATCCACGCTTCGTACTGATGTCCACAATTATTTTATTTCTCTCTGACAATCATGGAGCACCGTGAAAACTAGAAACAAGTAAATTAATATCAATAACATATATGATATTCATCTCAGCCACTTATTTCTTTTCACAAAGTGCACAAGTGTTAAACGAAGAACAGTATAACGTTTTTTACCGTGTACGCCTTGTAAAACCCAGCAGTAGAAAAGATGTATGTTCCAAAAGTCCGCCGTGTTACCGCACCGTGTCGTCTCTCCCGCGACTCACAGGAAGCGACTACCTCACAACAATCTCAACAGAAACATTTCTTATAAGAAAGACGTATAACTCCACTGCACAGATACACAATATGAGTACCAAATAAAGAAAACAAAACAGAGACAACGTACCGATCTCCGATGCGCTGCTGGTGTTGTCATGGCAACCAACACAAACATTCCAACGTCAGTTACACTCCTAGTTTTTGTCTGGCTTGCAGGCTAGCAGATTCTCGCACGAGGGGAAAATCGGCTCAGGTTTACTTATTTTTTGCACAGGCATTTGTTTACTGTGAAGTAAAGTTGAGGAACTGAAGTTATGCAAACTAATTTTGAATAAAAACTTGAAGAATAACTGGCAATTGCTTGCTCATTTTAAGAGGTCTTTCATAATTATAACATGCTATTTGATATCAAATCAAATCACTTTTATTGTCACGTCACATGTGCAGGTACACTGGTACAGTACATGCGAGTGAAATTCTTGTGTGCGAGCTTCACAGCAACAGAGTTGTGCAAAAATACAGTAACGTAAAAACAAGTAAAATATAAAAATGGCTAATCTAAGTATACAAATGAATAAAGTAAACAATAAGATAAGAGATATAAAATGTACAGAGGTTGGTATGTGCAAAACTGTGGCATTAATGTACAGTATGGAGCGTGCAATGTTGGAACTTGGTGGAGCTCGCGACGAGGCAGCCATACTCGGCGCCATCTTGGCTCATCAATATATGATATAATGGTTTACAAACACAAAAGGGTAATTTATTAGAGTACTCGATTAATCGGAAAAAAGATTCGATAGAGTACTCGATTACAAAAATATTCGATAGCTGCAGCCCTAGTGTTACGACCCTTCTGGGGAGTTTGGCTCGTGTGCAAAAAGGGAAGGGACAATACGGGATTTAAAAGTTAAAATGATGATCAGGTTTATTTACAACTACAAAAAATCATAAATCTTTCCATCCACAGGTTGGGAACAATAAAACGAATTCTGCCTGTGGGGAATTAAAACAAAAGTACAGATAACTAGGGATGTCCCACTGGGCAAAGATTACTGGGTTCTGTACCAAAATAAGAATCTCCAAAGGTCCAAACTCTAAACTGGGTGGTTAAACCAAACTCAAGGTGATATTTTAAACTAAACTGAAAACCCACAACACCCTAAATGTAATAAAAGGGAGATCTGCACCACAAAAAGATGAACTCTAAACCAAAACGTAACAGCTTATCCAAACGCAAGAAGCTGCTAGCGAAAATGCTAACAGTAGCTTTACCAACGTTAAGTTCAAGTTACCAAGTTTAAATAAACCAAAAACACCCAGCAGCAAACAGACCAGCACGGAGGAGAGACTGCTACCACCAAAACAGCTCTCCTCATGTCTGAAAGAAGCTCCTTTATGAAGGGAGAAACGCTCCCGGTGATGTTCTACATCTGTGGTAGAGACGGTGCAGCGCATCTGACCCCGGAAGTTGTTGTCCGTTGTCGGGAGACGAAGGCGGGCAAAACAGGAAAGGAATCTAGTAGCGTTCCAGGTCTTCGGTATTTGGTGGAGATGTTAGTGAAGGCGGAGAAGAGGGCGAACTAGAGGAGAAACAGGCAGATTCCTCCTCTATTTACAAACTCCTGGGGATGCAACAAGTGGGCGTGGTGCGTCGACTACCGGATCTGACCTCGACAAATTTTTAGAATCGAGCCGTCGACGTCATCGAGGCTTCGCTACAGCTCTACTTACATCCTTTACAATCATAGCTGACCTGTTGAGTGGAACAGGTGGAGCTAAGAATGTTGCTTTCATCAGACCTACGAAGGGCTGGCTTCAAATTGTATTTATTTATGGAACTGTCTCACATCTAATATTCTAAATTAAAAGCTTGTCTTTAATCATGGACAATGTTCTAACAAGTTATATTTAATAAACGTTGAACAACAAAACAACTCCAAAAGAGGTGCTTTAAAAATCCAGAAAAAAAAAAACGTCCCTTTTGTTAAAATGCAAGAGCTGAAAGAAGCTGTTGGTGGACCGGGGGCCGAGCCCCTCCGCTGACTGTGCCCCTCCGCTGACTGTGGTTCGTGTGCCTAACGTCTCCAGATTGCTGCTCCCACGAGAGCACCAAATTGTTAGAAATTTGACACAACACATTTTAAAAAAAGACCTGATGGAATAACATAAACCGTCACACTGAACTGATGTCCCCGTCATTAATAATAAAACCAAAGCCCCCAAAAATAATGTGACACAGGTTCGGTTTCAAACACAAAAGACGTCCAGTGGTTTGGAAGTGGGGCTGCGCAGTATAACAGTGATTAATATTGCGATGACGATATGACTTGCAATAAATAAACAAACGCTTAACTCAAGAACGAAAACAAAGAAATAAAAAATATGACGAAAATAAATCAAAAACTGGGAAAACGTTTGAGGAAAGGAAAAAAGAAAATAAACAAGAAAAGGCAATCGGTGGATCCTGGGAAAAGCAGAATCGGCAGAAAGAGCAGAACGGAGCTAACTCAGGTGTTTGCTAGCCATCCCCCTAAGGGGCGGGCCTCTAACCTGTAAGAACCCACCCGATTGGCCAAATGGGTGAAGAGCTCTATCTGATATGCTGAAAACCTCATGCTTCCGTTTGATTGACTAAAAGTGTAGCAAACATTAGAGCTGACCATTCATTGCCTTTTTTTTCTGTTCTTTGCGATATCTGTGTTGCACATGCCGATATCGCGATGACGATACGTTTGCGATGTGTTGTGCAGCCCTAGTTGGAAATCAGCTGATTGGCTGTGATAAGCAACCGATGGAGATGATTGTTAATCTTTTAATTTAAACCAGGATCCAGAAGATTCCCCGGCTGTTGGTGGCTGCAGCTGATGGATACCTGTATCTGTACAACCTGGATCCACAGGAGGGTGGGGAGTGCACGCTCATGAAGCAGCACAGGTAAATCACCTGCACCGAACAGCCAAATGAAACTTGAAGAACTTTTCTGTGCTGTGCGGACTGGTTTCCAACCTACAGGCTGCCGTCTGCCTTTTCTGACTGATTCAGGTTGGACAGCAGTGCTGAGCTCCCCAACGAGATCCTGGAGCAGGGCTCACATGACCGCCCCCTTGTGGCCCAAACCTATAGTGCTGCTGTCTCTAAAGGTAGGCTATAAAAGCAGCAGGTTCACATTATTCATTAGTCAGTAGTCTGGACCAGACTCGTGCTAAATACTCATAACAGTAAAGAATATAACAAATAGCCTGTGGACCCTTTTTATATTTTCAGGTTGATTTATGTTTATTATTTACTAAAAATAAGCAATATTGTGTTTTTTTTTTTAGTTAATTTACTAAAGCTATTATAAAAGTGTTATTATAGCAATAATGAGGTTCTGGTGAGTCATGAACAGGTAATATCTGTTACATCAGGGTTGTTATGGTTACAGCCCAGACACCAGGGGGCAGCAGTGAGAGGCTGTTTAGGCTCCAGAGCAGGAGGGCCCAATCCTGGTCCTGGAGGGCCGGTATCCAGCTGGTTCCTCTGCTCCAACACACTTGATTCAGAGGTTGAATCACCTGTGCAGCAGCTGATCAGGGTCTGCAGAAGCCTGTTAATCACCTGCTGATTGAAATCAGGTGTGTTGAAACAAATTTGAAATTAAAACATCCTGGACACCGGCTCTCCAGGAAGAGGATTGAGCACTCCTGCTCCAAAGGGACTGAATTCAAAGTGAGATTTTATTTAACATTATCCCAAAGTGTTGAGAGAAAAGGGAAAACGTTAGTCTCTTCATCTGCACGCCAGGAGAAAAAGACCATGTGACGAGAGAAACACGCGTCTGGTTGTCGTCTTTTACTTGTGTTTGATTCATTCTGAGTGTGTGCTTTACCACTGGAACATCCGGCTGTTTGCTTCAGCGAGGGACTACGGTCTTTAGGATCCTGACCAGTAACTGGCCATCTTGGCCAAGTCACATGTCTCGTCACGGAGCTGATAGTGGGGGGGCCGAAGGTGGACGTAGGCCCGTATCCACTATTGGAACGTCCGGGTAATTTTACTGGACCTTTGCTGGTGTGCATGTCTGCATTTCACCTGAACAGGGGTGTGCACTCGGGATGACCTGGTGGAGCCACTGTGGGACTTGTGGTTAACTCGTGCTGATTGGTTGACACTCAGTAGGAAGTTGAATGGAGGGAATGATGCTGCGTTAAAATCACTGTTTCTAAAATTAAAATACGCTGTAGTTCATGCTGCCATGTGGTCTCACAGAGCGCCATAAAAAACAGTGCTGCTCCTGGTCATTGAACGCCTCTTTTCCATAACACAGCCACTCCTCGTCCCCCGACTGGATTAAATTACAGCGTAGAATAAAACCTTACTAACGTTTGTGGAAGCCTTTAGGCTTTAATCACTTATTTGTTTACGTATAAATCAGGCTGATATTAATCTGTTCTTCCCCAAACGGAGTTATCTACAGCAGGTAAGATGTTAGCTGTTGATCCACAGAACCGTGCATAAAGGGTTCGAGCTGTCGCTCACCTCCGGTTTAAATAAAGTTTGTTATTAAATCTTTGGATGTGTGAGGTGGCTTAAGGCTGCCGTCATCAGTCACGTTAATTTCACTGTTGGAGTGTTTTTTTGGGTTGTTTTTTTTAATCATTGACCTCGTTTCCTAGGTTACTGTGAAGAGCAGGGGGCCGTGGGAGGGGCGGGGCTCGAAGAAGACCTCAGCGACCTTCGCTTGGAGGAGGAGAACGAGCAGCCACCGCTCATCCTGGAAACCGACTGACTTGACCCATTCAACATTCAGAGAGCTCCTCTGGTGCTGCTATACAAACATCAGACCCAAGGGGGGGGTGGGGGGATGGGATCAGGGATGGAGGTTGTTCCAGAACCTGCCCGTCGGTCTTTCTGTTCGTATTTTCTGTCCACAAACAAATCTTTTATCTTCTTCCTCCCTCCTCCTCCTCCTCGGTTTGCCTGAGCAGGCTCAAACTGAAGCTTTGCATGTACATGTGCCAACTGCTTAACAACGTGCTCCATTTGTGGGAAAAAAAAAAGACGAGCCCCTGTGAGTGTGGTCCAAAAAAAAAGGTAGCCGTGTCTTCGATTCGGACACGCACGCCGACGCGAGCACTGTGTACAATGGAAGTGATTGTGTAAGTGCCTCTCTGCCCCACTTTAGTCTCGTTTACGTCTGGAAGGGCAATTTTCCTTTAAATTGATGTAATAAAATCGGACCTTAATGGTGCGAGTGCACACTTCCCTCTGTCAAAGTTGCCCACGGAACCACAGCGGAGGCGGCGTCCGTCAGGTTGACCCTCAGAGGAATGAGGCTTGAGGTGTTTGCAGATAAAGTGTGTTTTCTGAGACTGCGTCCCTGTGAGAGTGTGTGTGGCGTGTAAATTAGCAAAATGTTTAATAATTACCCGGCCCTCTTTTACCTCATCCAATCAGAGGCTCAGGTCCTCTCTGCTCCACAGGCCCACGGACATTTATTGATTTTTTTTTAATCTTGGATAATATTGATCGTTTTTAAAATCTTGATAACTAACCAATCGTGTGTCATTAAAACGTGCGTGGTGTTGTTGACGTGATACATCCGAGACACGCGGCTGGTGGTGATGAGCGACGGGCTGCTCTTCATCCTCCCGCCGTGCATCCGTGTGCTCTGTGCTCTACTAGATGTGATCGGATAAACCCACACCCTGTCGTCGGACCGTCGGAGGTCGGGCTCATCCGGTCCGAGGCTGCTGAGAGGGATTAGCCGTGAGCGTTTGGGACCACCGGGCTTTTTCTAATGATTTTGTACAAAATGTGAAACGTTCATCTGAAAATAAAGCCTGCATCGGTGTGTGGGGTTGTTTCCTTCTCCTTTGTACATCTCACGTGATTCTAAAATTAGTCTAAGTGTACAAAACAACCACGTGGTTATTTATTAAACAGCAGAAGTGGAAAACTACGTCCAGCTCTCAGCAGAAACAAGTCGGATGCTTTCGTTTGGCTTTATTTGTCCCCCTCCTGGTTCTGGGTGAACGTTGTCCCTGCTTCGGCTCACTGAGGACAGTGGACAATCAACAGCATTCAGTCAGGTTGAGATCTGGACTTTTTCTTCTCAACCTTCCTTTTGGGGAGATCTGCTGGGTTTGGGATCACGTTTGGTCCAGACTTCCAGCCTTGGCATGAACCTGGTGGGACATCCATGTCTTGAATGTTTTCTGCTTGTGAATAATGCTTCTCTCTGTAGAACAAGAGATGACCTTTAACCATCAGTCTTCTACGCTCACAGCTGGTGTGTGAACACACACCTGTATGCTCCAGACAAGCACTCCCTTCCTTAATACGGACCGTCGTCATTCATTCAAGCTGGCTGAAACTTCCTGTTTTGAGTCCTGTGGGAGCAGGAAGAGTGGCGTTAGCGTAGCTCGGACAACTTTTACAGTTCTTCACTATCGTTAAAAATCGACACGCTGAGACTGGTGCATGTCTTTACACACAACGTGGTAACAATCTGACACAAACTACAACTGAGAGAGGATGAACATCGTTTCTACCAGGAGTTTAACTTGGGATGTCGAATAAAGCAGCTAAATGTATCACATTCACAGCATCCTGGAAGCTAATCCAGCAGGACCTTGTAGCATTTTGGCTAGGATAACCATGTGATGCAGAATTGAGAAAGTATTTCTACAATAATGTTCTCAAGGGCCTCTGAAAGAGGAAACCTTGGATGAGGCATTTCTTTAACTCATTCACTGCCAATGACGACTAAAGTCGTCATTTGCATATTTTTACTGTGTGGGCGTCGGACGAGCCCCCGCGCCGAGAGAACAAACATCTCAGCTCTAAAGCCTGTCTTCATCCGCATACGTCACACGTCACGTGATCAGGAAGCAGAACATTCATGTGTTAGGAGATCGTTTTGGGCCGCTGCTGTAAAAGAAAGTGAGGCGCGAACCGGAAAAACTTCTGCCGATCACAATTCAACAACGGATTATGAAAGAAGGGATAACGCTCGAAACACGCGGATTCTTCCTGATGTTAGAGGTGAGTCTCCGCTTTGTTTTGGCCGTTTGGCCGTCAACATCATCCTAGTGTGCAACGTTCTGTGGCTCTTAAAAAAACAGTAAAAATGGTGGAGGACAAGATGGTCCATAAGTGTATTTGGTACCAAGCAACACTGGACCGCAGCTCCACTGATGGATATACAGTAATTGAACCATCAGACCCGACAACCATGTCTATGAACTTCAGGTAAAGTAAGGGTCACCTGGTGGTGAGGTGGCTCCAGAGCAGTAGATGGGTTAGGGTTGGGGTTAGAAATAGACCAGGCATCTCCTGCTGTTGAGAAGTGAGGCCACAAGATGTGGTTTAACAACGCCGCCATGTTTAATAGATTCTAGAATCTGACGCTCAGGGTAGGATGCAGAAAGCCCCGCCCACTCACCTGCACACAATAATGTCTTCCTGTAGTCATCGAATCACTAGTTACAGCTTTGAATCGTGGAAATTTGACCACACAGCAGCAGGGTGAGAACTCTATCAATGGTGTCCAGCCCAGGGACGTGTCCAGGGAGTGGCCTGGGGTAGCACATGCCACCCTTGGAATCTGATTGGCCACCCCAGGTGCCACCACACTAATTTACCTTTAGATAGGCTTTTCATTGTCCACAAAAGTCTTGGGGGTAAAACATAAAAAGCATAACCACTGGTGCCACCCATGCACAAAGTTGTGCCTCACCTGGGCCACCCCATTTTAAAAGATCTGGACACGCCACTGGTCCAGCCTTGGCCTTGAGGGCTCCTACGCATGTTGTTGATGTTTCCCTGCTCCAATTCACCTGTGGCTCTGCTGAAGCCTGCTGTTTAATCGGGTGTGTTGAAGCAGAGCAGCCACTAGAACGTGCTGGACTGGACAGCGCTGACCTACGGGAATCGCCTGAGGGAAACCTAACGGAGGTGTTAGTTTGTTGTCTTTATTTCTCATCAAACAAAATATTTTCCCGACCTGCTGCTGGGAGAACGCTAAAACAATAACTGATGGTGCAGGGGTAGTGTATGTTTAGAACAAATAAAAATGTGAAAACAGTGTACGGCTGCACGTGTCTCCCTGTGAGACGTGTGTGTGAGTGAGAGAGAGAGAGAGAGAGAGAGCCGTTTCGGTGCTTATGTGGAATTATTGTGACCCGTAAACAGGCCGGAGACAGACTCCATTGTTTCTTCAGCTAATACTAAAGAACCAAATTCCAGAAGCAATAATCCTGACACCCTGGTTTCCTTCTGGATTTCACAAATGGTTTCAGCTTCCTGTGCAACAAACAATAAGGACCTGATGAGCGTTCCTGAAAGCTCACCTTGTGATGAATGAGACACAAGTTCTGGGATTCTTCTGGACTTCTGGCTCTGCTGCTTTTCCATGTTGCAACTTGAAATGATCCTGTGCAGTCTAATGACTTCACGAGGCACATGAAAGCCGTCCCAATGGTCAACAGCAGTGGCTAACGGGTCCGGTACCAGAGAATGTAGAACACTCAGAGACATACGGGAGGCTTGGTGAAAGGATGCATGAGGAAGCAGAACAATTCTGGCTCATCCCTTTAGCTATGCTGCTGGAGGACACACTGACCACATTTCCTCCCTCTTTCTGCTGGGTTTGGTTCTGCTGGAGGTTTTTTCACGTTAACACCATCATTCCTCTCCACTGTTGCCATGTGCTTGGTCAAGCTGGGGCATCATATAGAAAGGAATGGCTGATGCAATCAACAGTTTTTAATGGCTTTAATAATTGTCTAGGAGACTGAATCATATTGTATTGTTATTATAAACGGATTAAAGTAGACGGTTTACATCTGGATATGAATGTGACCTGTTTAGTTCTGCATGGTGCTCTAAGTTGACTTTTTTATGAAAGTTAATCAAAATGTAATCATTCTGGGACATTGTCTTTGAGTTTAGTCCTGGTGTAAATTACTTATTGTTAGTAGTAGTAGTAGCAGTCAGAGGTGTGGACTCGAATCACATGACTTGGACTCGAGTCAGACTCAAGTAATTATTTTAATGACTTCTGACTTGATAAAATCTATTAAGTCTTACGACTTGACTCTGACTTGAACGCCAATGACTTGTGACTTGAATCGACTTGCATCTGTTGACTTGAGCATTTTTTATATTTCAGCACAAAGTGGCACGACACGGACAAAAATCATAAATCACTCTTGGTTCTGGGTTTGATTTACTGCAAAATGCAGCAGCACTTTATAATCAGTTTCAGTTGCACTTTCTGCTTGTTTGAGCAAATAAGCGAAGCTTTAAGAAGCTTTATTTCTGGAATTTATTTATTATCATTGTCATTAAATTGAAGTTGGACAGATGACTTGATTATGACTTGAAAATTCAAAGTTAAGGACTTGGACTTGACTTCGACCTCCAGATCATTGACTTTGGACTCAACTTGGACTTGGTTGTCTTTGACTTGGACATGACTCGAGACTTGACTGGAAAGACTTGTGACTTGCAAAGCAGTGACTTGGTCACACCTCTGATAGTAGTACTAGTGTGTTTTACATTGATTTCTTGAATTCCTGCCTTTACAGTAATATTCAAATAACCAACTGAAGTTTGATTATGGCCATTTGTTGCCTTTCAGACGTTTAAAATCATCCACATTTTGTTCTTAGAAGGGATCAGTAATTCGTCGATGAATTACTTGTTATAAACCTACAGAACATGAACACTAGTGATGCCAAAGGTGTTTTTATAAGACAGCCAGGTGAAATGATGTAGTGAGATATCAAATATTGTGTTCCAGAATCATGTAGCATTAAGATTTTCGAATTAAAAGAAAGAAAAAGAAATCCAACCGCGTCTTCACGGGCACGCGCACCCTCTTTCGGGCTCGAGCACGTAGCCGTACGTGAGCTAGCTAGCTACGTGCTCGAGCCTGCCCGAAAATGTTCTCCCGTGTTGTTGAATTTCGAAGGAGCGCAGGACTTTGCGGCCAAATAAGACGTTCTTCTCCGTGAGGGAAACAAAAACGAAGCGAATGGTTGGCCTCTGAAATCTTCCGCGGTGCCATTTTATGTTGGTGAAGGAGAGTTTTCGGCCGACTTCGGGGGGAAGTTTGTGTGAGCCTTGTTACCGGGAGTGATGTCGAATCCTGGGAGTCGGAGGAACGGGTCCAGCATCAAAATCCGACTGACAGGTAAGAAAATAGCGAGCCAGCAACAATTCTGCTCACACGGCAGGCTGTAACTGGAGCTTAAATATTTTATTTACAGCTCTTTATTGTACATTGTCGGTATAGTCCAGCCTAACTTTTATGTGCTGCACTTGCCTGTTAGCCCGCTAGCTTGTGGGAAGATCTTAGTTACCGCTGACCGTTGCAGCTTGTTAGCTACACCCATTTTCCTGTTGAGTGACCACCAACCCAACCCGACCGACTGGGTTACAGTAATAAAGGCGACTGTTCCTCCGCAGCCTCTTTAAAATCGATTGATTGGTGGATCTGTGACACGCTAGCCCAGATTACCACGGGCTATCGATCGCTGTGTGGCTGCTGTGTCAGCTGCGGTTAGACTCGCTGAACTTATCCCGACCCTGGGAAGTTTAAACATGTTTCCTCTTTAGGGATCAGCTCGTCTGAGATGTTTATTCCGTTTTGGTGCTCGGGTCTCCTCGCAGGGCTTGTCGGAGTCCCTTTTCTCTCACACAGGGAGGGATCCAGCTGGAACAATGGTTTTTACTGTAGCTAATGTAACGCCACTAGCCACCGAGGGGCCTCTATTCAAATGGAAATGACCTCTCTGCCTCTGGGCAGACACTCTGGCCTTCCAGTGACTCAAAAGTAAACAAAAAGACAGCTCCATTTCCCTTCTGGGCGATCAGAACAGAAAAACTAGTGAAAACATGCTGGTGGTGAATGTTTTTAAAGCTTTTAAGAGAAGGTTATAGAGGTTATTTGTGGCTTTTAGTTTCTTTCTAGCCTTTCTTGTAAGCTGGATTTGAAGCAGGAATTTGTGTTGACACACTCATCTCTTCACACAATACTCAGAGTACAGGTTTCAGCTTCAGTCTATATGTAATCTAGCCAGGAGTAGGGTTGGGCATCTTTGATTTTGAATGATTCCGATTCTAATTACAATTCCTCGTTTCGATTCCGGTTCCTATCGATTCCCGATTCCGATTCTTTCAAGACATTACATGTTTAACATGAGTTAGCTAACCACAGGTCCTATGAAATAATCTTAACTTCAACATGAATTTTAATTCTGTGAACAATAACATCACGTTAATTTAGTCAAAAACTTGTCCTGGCCCAGGAGGAGGCCCCAGCTTTGTGTTTTTAGTCTAAAACAACAGATTAGGACTGATTCCATCACGGTTTTTAAATTGTCATTGAAGGAACCTAGATCAACCGTGTTTGTATTTACTATGTAAAACACCTTTACCTTTCATCAGGCTTCCGAACCATAGCTTTTCCAGTTTGACCAACCAGATAGGAGGGTTGGGGGTAAACGATTATTTTTTAAACGATTATTCTGACGATTATTTTATTGAATAGTCGACTATTCTAAGCTCTATTTAGACGATTAATCTAACAATTCTTTTTTTCATTGCACAATTAATAAAAACCAGAAAATCTCAAATAAATTCCTCAAAAAAATTGATAAGTTGTTACTGTAAGAGAATAAACACACAGGCATTCCATTTTGTATAACACTGCTTTTATTGTGTTGCGGTTGGTTTTGTTCTGGTGACGTGTAGAACTTGGGGGAGCAGGCTGCTGCCTGAGAGGTGTTTGAAGATGGAGTGTCTCCATACTGCTTTGTTTTGGTCACTTATGTGCGTGAGGCGAGTGGTGTTACGACCCTTCCTGGGGAGTTTGGCTCGTGTGCAGAAAGTAAGGTACAATAACACGGGATTTAAAAGTTAAAATGATGATCAGGTTTATTTACAACTCCAAAAATCATAAATCTTTCCATCCACAGGTTGGGAATAATAAAACTAATTCTGCCTGTGGGGAATTAAAATAAAAGTACAAATAACTAGGGATGTCCCACTGGGCAAAGATTACTGGGTTCTGGACCGAAATAAGGATCTCCAAAGGTCCAAACACTAAACTGGGTGGTTAAGCCAAACTCAAGGTGATATTTTAAACTAAACTGAAAACCCACAACACTCTAAATGTAATAAAAGGGAGATCTGCACCACAAAAAGATGAACTCTAAACCAAAACGTTACAGCTTATCCAAATGCAAGAAGCTGTTAGCGAAAATGCTAACAGTAGCTTTACCAACGTTAAGTTCAAGTTACCAAGTTCAAATAAACCAAAAACACCCAGCAGCAAACAGACCAGCACGGAGGAGAGACTGCTACCACCAAAACAGCTCTCCTAATGTCTGAAAGAAGCTCCTTTATGAAGGGAGAAACGCTCCCGGTGATGTTCTACATCTGTGGTAGAGACGGAGCAGAGCATCTGACCCCGGAAGTTGTTGTCCGTTGCCGGGAGACGAAGGCGGGCAAAACAGGAAAGGAATCTAGTAGCGGACGGACCGGGTCTTGGGTATTTGGCGGGGATTTTAGTGAAGGCGGAGAAGAGGGCAGACTAGAGGAAAAACAGGCAGATTCCTCCTCTTTTGTGTGTTCTTACTGTGTCTAGTTTCTAATTCCATTTTTGGTTCTTTTTAAAACACAAGAAAGGTTTCTTTTTACCTTGCTAACGTTTTGTTTGCCGACTGTAAACGAAACGTTAGCAAGGTAAAGAGAACCCTTTCCTGTGTTTTAAAAAAGAACCAAAAATGAGATTCCTCCTCTATTTACAAACTCCTGGGGATGCAACAAGTGGGCGTGGAGCGTCGACTACCGGATCTGACGTCGACAAATTTTTAGAATCGAGCCGTCGACGCCATCGACGCTTCACTACAGCCCTACCAGATAGGATGTTGAATTTGTCGTTGTTTTAGTGGTTTTCGCACATTCCACTTCTCCTTTTAGTTAGGGCTGCTCAATTAATCGAATTTTAATCACGATTACGATCTGAGTTTTGAACGATTATAAAAAACATAACAAGCCGATTATTTGCTCCTCCCGCTTGCGCTGCCCTAAGTTGCAAATGAAGCGCTCCTCCACAGTGTTGCCAACTTAGCGACTTTGACGCTATTTCTAGCAGCTTTTCAGACCCCCTTCTTGACTTTTTAATCCTAAAAGTACCTAGCGAACATCTCAGAAACATTTCTGGTAACCCTTAGCTACTTTCTGGATAATTGTCGTCGACATTTCCTGCAGGTTAGCTAAACACTCCGCCTGTGCTCCGGACCGTTCTTCACAACATTAGGAAAGGGAATGATGCAGTGATGTGTCGGTCGCTAAAGACAGCTCTCGGAGCCGGCTCCTTGTTGGATTAACCAGAGTGAGTGACACACACACCGCACCTGCGGTCTCCTGAGCAGCTAAAAACAGCTAAATGTGCGCGTGCGGCGTGCTAAACACACGTGCAGCTTGCCCGATTGCTGTGAGACCGGGGTGGGGTGGTGGGGGGTGCAGCTGTGGTTGGGACAATTACTACATTAACTGATGGGCCTGTAAATAAATAGTTTATAAATAAGGTAGAAATAAGTTCCTCACGCTGATAACTAATCTCTCTGAGGACACAGTGCTAGTGCACGCTCCTACAGCACCTTGACACGACTCAATAAATGTTATGTAACATTTTGTGAACATCAATTTATTTGCATTTATTTGTTATAAATGCCACTGTATAATTCTTGCTGTCAGTATTTGCAAGATATTGGTATTTGGGTCTGTACTGGTTAGACTCAAGGTCTATAGCCCTTGGGTCATAGACTATGAGCTATAAGTATATTGGTCTTTTTATCCTGGGAATCAGGAGTTCTTTTAGTGATCATCTTGTTTCTTATTTTTGTCCTGATTGTGCCCTGAGCAGTTTTATGACTGAATAAAAACAAATAAAATCAACATAAATTGAAAAATCGTCCTAAATAATCGTGATCTCAATTTCAGTCACCATAATCGTGATTATTATTTTTGCCATAATCGAGCAGCCCTACTTTTAGTGTCTTCCTCCAAATGTGTTAGCTCTTTTTTGTGTTGGTTCTAAACTAGGGATGCACCGATCAGGTTTTTTGCTGCCGATCACCGATACCGATATCAAAGAATGCTGATCACCGATACCGATCACGTGGATTGGCCAGAAATTTTCTACAACATTATGAGTGCTACAAACTACATAATCTGGGAATAAAGGAAATGTAACCTAATCTAAAATGGTCTGTATTAGGGTTGTCACGGTGTGAAAATTTAACCTCACGGTTATTGTGACCAAAATTACCACGGTTTTCGGTATTATCGCGGTATTTTTTTTAAACATGCTACATTTTCACACAATTAAATAAACCCTGTATGTCAGGAAATATTGTCCTCAGTTTGTGTCTAAATTTAGCCTAAAATGTGTTATTTTGTAATTATGTTGTTTATTTGTTTACATTTTTCCCCTTTAGTCTTTAAAATACCAATATTTACCATAACTTCGTATTTTATGTCTGTTTGATGTCATCATTTAAAAATATTAGACCAGATGATACTCAGTACTCAAGTAGCCTTCTAATCAGATACTTTTTTACCCTTACTTGAGTAATAAACCCTATATCAGGAAGATATCGTCCTCGGTTTGTGTCCTTCCAGTGAGCTTTGCAGATGTGGGAAAATGTCATCAGGCAGTAATCGTTGTTAAATTCATAATTATTCTCGGAGAGAGACCAACTCTTATCTGCCCCTGGGAGCCCCGTAATGCATAGCGTCATTTCAACATGGGGGTGTCCGCGACACGGTTTATATGCAGGTAGCGGCGCTGCGGCTGCTTTATATAGCGACTCGTTGCATTCTCCCTCAACCCAAATCCTCGGATCACGCATTTTAGCTAAAACGCTAACGTTAACTTGCCTTGCGTTGACTGTAGAGTTGTGGGTGATGGTCACGCAGATGTGTCATGAGATTTGAAGCATTGCTGCCTTTCACAGACACTTTTTCTGCTCGTGCTGCAAACAGGATAGCCGTCTTCTATCAGCTGTCCCTCGGCATTCTTCAAATATCTAAAACATGCCCGTACTTCCGACTTTGTCTTCTTTGAGGGATAATAAATGTTCTCCTGAGTGCTGCCGTCTCCTCCTTTGACCATTATTTCAG